CTGTTTTCTCTTTAGGCGTTTAGCAATTAAAAATGGCTCTAAAAGAAAATTCACAAAATCACAAGAAATTTACGGAGCGATTTTGATTGCAGTGACCTTAAAACTGTTTTTTAACGATGAATTTACTAATATCGATAAAAGTAGCTTTTCAAATAAACCTTTCTCCCAAACTGAGATTTTGACACATTGATCTCCTAATGAGCATGAAATTTGCTTGATCATTTTGAACTCATAAACTTGTGCATCAGCACATAACTTATCAACAGGTGGCACCAAATATGTTGAATGAAGTATCATTTTGAAAGCTTGCTGTGCATCTCGACTGATATTTGAAGGCAAACTTGATACACAATTAAAGCAGTGAAGTGCATAACAACTTAAAAATAGCTTTACCGACGTCAGCATAAATGAAGCAATTTTGATCGATGTTAGCATATTTCTTCAACATATTTAACAATGACAGCATATTTCTTCAACATTTTAACAAATTTAACATAATAATTTTAAACCGTTTATTGATATCCTTTTGATTCAAATGCAAAAATCTGGAGAAAATCTGAGCTTTGAGTCAGATCTTTTCTAATCAAACACTAAAATATTTATATTCCTGAATTATTAAGTAGAATTTTTTTCGATTTAGTTCAATAAATGAAAGTTCAGTAATTTTACTTGAGTTTTTTCATGTAATAATTTTAGTAAAAGTGTTTTAAAAATTTTATAATATGTAGGATGATATGATCTTTCATACATTTGAATTTATTTTCAACAGAAAGCAAAATTTCGTTCAAATTTAAAATAATAATCACATTAAATTATGATACAGTGCATAAGTATAGAGGATTTGATCAGTAAGTAAACAAAAGATGAGTAGTAGAATTGTTGGTGAATTTGCAGTTCAAATAGCTTTACTAACTGATAGCAGATTTAAGGTTAGTATGGGCCATTGCTATTAAAATAACCCACTGTTACTATGGAAACTCGTTAAACCAATTGAGAAAAGTATAAAATAATCTTGAAACGAGCATTATATGAGCCAGAAATATTTCTGATTTGCAGAAACTTTTGAAAGAGAAGCTACTTTGTCAGTCATGAATACTTCTAACCAAAACATCTAATAATTCAAACAATAAAGTCTAAAGTACAGCCAGATACTTGCATAATACTTCATTGAAATTCCTGTTTTTTTATTTTGCACATAATTCAAGGTAGAATAGCAATATTTAGCAAGTAAAAATAAATTAAAATGATGCCGGAAAGAAATACACTTCTGATCTCAGAGTTATGAAAGACAAGAAAAATTTTTAGTTCTATAAACTGCAGAAAATATCATGTTTTGGTGATATGTATTTCACTTATGCTTACCACAATTCATTCATGATCATATTATCAATAAATATCAATTCATCGTCATGGCTAGCATCTAGCATTTATTGTTAGATAAATGAGGTAGTCATTTATTATCAAAGTAGTCAATGGATAATTTCTTAAAGAAAGCATATTTTTGCCAGTTAGTGACGAAAATAAAATATTTTATCTTTTAACAACAATGGCTTTTCCAAAGTTCAAGTCCCAGCTCTTAGCTTATTATTATAAAACTGCAACCTTCAGAATTGGATTTTCACCCTAAAATAATCCAGCCATTCAAAATAAATCAGGTCCCATAAATTGTTTGCTGTATAGCATTTCAAATTCGTTTAAAATTCTGGTTACTCATATTTATTAGGTCCATCTACATGTTTTTTTATCACTATTTGCATTTTTTCTTGTCATCCTTCTATCAGCATCTTTAGTGGTGATAATAATAATGATAATAATAATAGTATAGTAATAATAATAATGAAATATAATACTATTATAATTATTATAATAAGATTATATATATATAAGCGACGTGAATTAATCCTGGTAGAAGTTGGCATCACTAGTCAGGATAGACAGCAGTGTGGACTGAGAAACGAAAATATGACCTACTTGCTAATAAGCTTGCGTCAGAGATGAAATGCAGGATCAAAACAATTCCGTGTGTTGAGATGAAATTGTAACGAACTTCTGGCAGTACTTGTCCCGCTTAAACGCTATGCGAAGGAGATCAGTATATTTGATCACATCGAGGCATACATTCAATCGATAGTTCTAAAAAAGAGGCTCGAAAGCATCTTCTTTGACAATCGATATGGATTCTACGAGGACGAAGCGAGAACGATGAGTACAACAAATCTG